GCGGGCGCAGGGCGCCCTCCGAGGGAGCCGAAGCCGGGGCGGGCCAGGTGGTGGAGGATGAGCCTGCGGCCTCCGGGGACCTCTGCGCAGTAATGCCAAGATGTAAGTTCCCCCTTCCGCCCGGAGTTCGTTCCCCTAGGTGTTCTTGCTTCCGACGAAATGATTTTCTAAGGACTTCGGCCGCTGTAACCAAAGAAACCGGTTGGTCTTCAGTTTGGCCCCTCGAGGCACCTAGGAGTTGAGGCTGTGATTGCAAACAGCTGTGACATGTGTGGTCGGGTTTTTTTTTTTTAATCCTTGAAAGAGGTCAAGCTCAGAGTTGTGCGGTGCAACGGATCATCAGGTGGGCCAGGCTGCAAGCATGGGGAGAACGTGGTTTGGGTTCACCTTAGGCAAGTAAGAGTGTTCCCAGGGCCAGGGGCCAGCTGGTGCCCTGAGCGGCAGCCCTCCTGGATCAACACCTGGGGGTTTGGAAGCCGGTATGCGGAGAAAATGTTGACTTTATACATTGCCACCATTGGCCGTCGAAGTTATACTTGGAACATGGGCTTATTAGAATCGTTAGGGGGGAAAACCAAACAACTGCGGTGAAAAGGTTCCCGTGTGCTTTGTAGTTTAATAAACAAATATTAAGGAATGTTTCATTTGAATTAATAGGCACTGTGAGGGGCTTTGGATATGCTGAGAAAACGGTGATGCCCACAGGCTTGGCGTCTATGCAATTATCTTTTAAACTTTTAAAGTCAGCGGTGAAGGGACTTAGATGGACCCAGCTAAGGGGCGGCCAAGCCTGGCCTTCCTGAATGGAAAAAAAAGGTTATTCCCGAAAGGGCCAAGCTTATTTTTGTGGCCAACTAAGAAGTTGCTTTTACTTGGAATATGTAATTTCCACACCCCCACCACCCCTCCCCAATGTTTTATTTCAGCTTGGGTAGACACCCTCCCAATTTACCTCCTTCCACTAATTAAGGGACAGAAGTTTCTAGAAAGTGCTACTTCAAACCACCTTCCCTCTCCCAGCTCTTAGAAGAGAGATTTCCATTAATTTCTCACTTTACTTTAATGCCGGGGAAAGACACCCACTTCAGGCCCAGTTTCACTCCTCCCACCAGCACACATTTTGCAAAGTGGGAGAACAATCTAAGCAAAACCAGCTCAGATTGCTGCTGCTGTGTCCCTGGTGGTGGGCACGCAATATAATTACAAAGGAATCACTGAGTTTTAGTAAAACTGTATGTGGCACAAGCCTACACCTGTGGGTTTTAAAGTTTCATGTATGCCAGTGGAATCAGTAAAGTATAACATGAAAGAATTTACCTTGGGAAGCGGCCAACAATCTTCATCTAAGATTTGTTCTCACATACAAGCGAGTCATCGGCGAAGATGAATTTGTTTGAAACTTCACGGTTTATTTGTCCCGCTTCCTTTCAGCTTCATAGATAATTCCGATCTTACAGGAAGGGGAAAAAAGTACACCAAAAAAATACCAGTACCAGTTTAAAAAAAATTTTTTTTAAGTGCAAATGATCTACTGATAATGTGAACATTTTCTGATAGTGAAATTAAATGATGTGGAAACCAATGTAAAACGCTTAGTTCACCAGAATCCCACATAGTTAAGAAATCATGTCATTGAAGCGTAAAAGCATGAAGCTTCAATCATATAAATAATTGGTTTAGTGACTTTGTGTTTCACTATTGAGCAATTTTGACTGTTTTTTTTCTTTTCATACTGCATTGTTTTTCCCCTTTTTGCTGTCTAAAATTCATAAAGCATGGCTTAATTCTGATACTGATGTGTTAGGACATATGGAAATACTATCAAAGTTTCCAAGGTAAATATTCCTATTTTCGTGTGGGAAAATGTTGAGTTGAAGAAAGTTCTTTTAAATGTTAATTTTAATAGTTTTAAGCACACACGATTTAAATATATTTTCTAATTGACCCCTGTGGAAGTAGAATATATGTTTATATTTTATTGTCCTTACATTCTGAAATTTCAGATTTTATAAATGTGTTTTGAAGTTGTGGTGACTGCCTATTTTTCATCCACTAAGAAATGTAGTAGATTTAGCAAGACTTGCATTAATTGGTCTCAAGCTGCATGAAGCTACTGTTCCATTTATGGCTTATATAAATTACATGACATTGTGCTCTTCCAATGTGAATGGTGAATGAGACTATTGTCTCTTGGCTTATGGGGAAGCATTAGAAGCCAGTAGTTTTACTGCCGTATTGGCCATGTCATTCTGGTTTCTGGAAAGAATGATTTAAAAGCGAACTAGTTTATATATTAAAAATAAACTGAAAAGCCCTTCCTTAAACCTGACTATTTTTCTAATTGCCCAAAAGCATCATGCAAAAACAGTTTACATCTCTGCTGGGATGACAAGATTTAGAGGAAAGTAAAACGAACAAGCCACCGAACACTTAATTCATTGTGTATGGTGTGCATGGTCACTTATATTTCTAATTGGGTTCTGTGTATTATAAAAGATAGTTATTTATACTGAGTGATTTGGGCCATAGAATTGAAAGACTTTATCAACCCAATGATGCTAGCAGGACTTGAATGAGGGTACCAGAGCATCATCTTACTTTATATACATTATTTGGGATGGGATTATTTGAGATGAACTAAAAAATACCCTCAAGATTAACATATTGAGAAGTTTGTACCAAAAATAGGAGCCTCGGTGGCATAGTGGGTACAAGTTGGGCTTCTAACTGCAAGTTCAGCAGTTCAAAGCCACCAACTGCTCTGCAGGAGAGACATTGATGGGGCTTTCTACTTCTGTACAGAGTTACAGTCTCGGAAACTCACAAGGGTCCATTTCACTCCGTCCTATAGGTTTGCTGTGAGTCAGCCTCAGCTCGATGGCAGTGAGTTCGTTGTTTGGTTTAGGAGCAAATATGAGAAAGGCTTAACCTATCTTGTCTTGCAAAATCACAAATTGGTTAGAGAACTGTTTATCCTGTAATTGAAAAACTGTACAAGGGACTTGATTGTGTCATTCCAAATGAAATCCAAATGAAACATATTTGTTATCAAATTAGCCATGAGTTAAGGAACAGTATTTGATACTGGTGAGGGTGTCATGAGATAAACACACATTATATCAGTGTAAATGTGTATGACTTTTATTAAGAATTGATTTCACTTTACAGAAAAGTTAAGCAAACCGAAAGAGTACAAAGAATTCTTCTACTGTAAAAATGACCCCCATTTGTTTAATCACGTCTTCCCTCCTTCAGGGATCCCTGTCTCTCTGTCTCTCTTGCTCACCTGATATTGACATATTGACATAATGACATATTGACATTGTTGTTCTTGGTAGGTAGGTCTGGTTGAGTCTGTCCCTGCTCATTGTGACAACATGTCTAATAGAACAAAGCTGTCCCCCAGTCCTGTGCCATCACCCCAGTAGTAGGGATGCTTTGAGGTCATTGTTGTAGTCACTGTGACTCGCCATCTTACTACGGGGCTTTCTTTTTTCCTCTGACCCTCCACTTCAGCAGGCATGATGTCTTTCACCAGGGACTGGTCCCTCCTGATCACGTGTCTACAGTACGGGAAACAAAGCCCGGCCACCATTTCTTTTAGGTTGCCGTACTTCTTTCAAGACAGTCATTTTTCCAGCAGTTCATAGTGTCTTCTCGCTTGTTTATCTGGAAGCCTGTAGTATCTTAAATATTCTTCACCAACACCGTAGGTCAAACAAGTATGTGTGTACATAGGAGGGGATTTTTTTTAATCATTTTATTGGGGGCTCAGACAATTTTTATCACAATCCATACATCCATCCATTGTGTCAAGCACATTTGTACGTTTGTTGCCATCATCATTCTCAAAACATTTGCTTTCTACTTGAACCCTTGATATCAGCTCTTCCCCCCTCCCTCCCCACTCCCTCCTCCATCATGAACCCTTGATAATTTATAAATTATTATTTTGTCATATCTTACACTGTCTCACGTCTCCCTTCACCCACTTTTCTGTTGTCCATCCCCCACGGTGGTGGCTATATGTAGATCCTTGTAATTGGTTCCCCCTTTCTACTCCACCTTCTCTCCACCCCACATGAGGGGATTTTAAATGCTTTCTTATAAAACTATATTATCTTTCAATTAAATTTTTATGTGACTCTTTTGAATCCCCCTCATGAGTGTGTGTTTCTCTGGACATACACCCACACAGGAGAATAAGTCAGAAAGTATTGCTACTAGGGTTCCAATTCATACATGAATGCATTTATTCTATGTAACATGTCTCTATATGTGGCTGCAGACTCTCAGTAATGTACTTGAAGGTGCCCTCACAAAAGGATAATTTTTGTACCACGGGAAGAAGCTATTTTGAGGCCAGGGCTAATATCAAACACAGGCAGCCATCTTTCCCAAATAATTGAAGCTTTGCTACAAGAAAACAGGAATGATGCCCCACATAAAAAGCACCAGGTTTTATGTTTAAGGAAGGTTGAGAAGACCTTGATAATGAGCCAAGAGAGGAAAGATTGTCCATTTTGATGAATGAAGAATGTGGCCAAAGGCCAGAAACTAGTGGGAAAAAAGCATAGAATTACTATTGATATGATAGTTGGGAATCTCACCTGGTTTGGCATTTTCATTTTTAAACAAACATCTGGGCCCCAGGAAATATTTGGCTGGATGAGAGCCAAAAGTCTACCTGAAGATTAACTAGTCCACAGAATCGATCTTCAGTCTTTTAGACAAGATCGAAGCTAATGAAACAATTTTATGGAAGAAATATTAAGCAAGGAGGTTTGCTGAGCTACTTCAATTCAAAGCAATTCAGAAAGTTCTGGCTACAGTGTCTGGAGGTTCCAAAGGGGTATTCTTCATTGATTTTCTCTCAGGACGCAGGGTAATGCAGGGGCCTGTTAGAAAGAATATTGAAGACCGTTCAAAATTGCCTTGCTGAGAAGTCCAGGAAAGTTGCACAGAGGTATCTTTTCCATCAAGACAACACATCTGCTCGTTCTCCTACGTACCAAAGCCATCCTTTGGGAATTTCATTAGGAAACTTTACTCTATTGACCCTATGTCCTTGATCTTGTCCCTTCTTTTGGTTCCGGAAACTC